TGATGCTTCAAAGGCTTGAAGACTCATATGAGGGCACCTCAGTGGTCAAGGAAGCCAAGCTCTACATCTTCAAGGATAAGTATGCCAAGTTCAAGATGCTAAAAGATGAGAGTATGCCGTAAATGTTCCATAGGATAAATGCCATTGTAAATGGGCTAAGGAATTTGAAGCACAAAGTTGATGATGAGGACTTCTCCTATTGGTTCTTGAGATGCCTCCCACCAAGGTTTGACACATTGGTGACTATCATTGTGAGAGGCAGCTTGAAGGGAGTCACCCCTACCCAAGTACTAGGTGATGTAGTCACACAAGACACATACCATGAGAAAATTGCGGAGGTGGAGAAGGAAGAAGAAAAGGAGTGTGGAATTTAAGGCCACCACATCATCCAATGGCAAGAGCAAGAAAAAGGAAGAATCAAGTGATGATGAAGATGCAAGCTCAAGCTCAAGTGTGGAGGAGGAGGACATGGCTCTCTTTGTGCACCGGTCTGACAAGTTCATGAAGAAGAAAGGTTATGGTGCAAGAAGAAGGAGACTAGGGATGGCAGTGGGGCCATTTCGGGTCAGAGATTCGTGGAGTTTGGGTCCAGCGGCTTCGGTTCGATTTCACCCCCCCATGATGAAGCCAAAACTTATTAGGTTCAGTTTCACGTTTTGGTTCCCTCTAGGCGGATGTCCAATGGATGTCCGAAATAGACCAGTTGAATAAAAACTCATATGTTTTATTAATAAATTATTTATGTAAGCTATTAAGTGTGTTATAAGTTGAGTCATGAAATTGTGTATTGTTTATTGCCTCTTGTTTATACATGTCAATATATAAAATATATCATGCATGCATTTTTTGTATCTACCCCATTGCCATGCCTAAAGGAGATCCTCATCCAAAAGGAAGGAAGAAAGAAGGTGCTACGAGTGTGGGGATATTGGTCATCTTACAGACAATTGTCCCAAGAAGGAGAAGAGCTCCAAGGATGAGAAGAGCAAGTCCTAGAAGGACAAGGAAGGCAAAACAATGACCTTTAAGAAGAATAAGAAAGGCCATATGTGTATTGTGTCGAGTGGGACTCTGATGCCTCAAGTGAAAGTGATGATGATGAGAAGAGTAACAAGATCAAGTCACTTGTCAACATCGCCATCAATAAGAAGCCCTCCATCTTTGACACCCCCTCATCATGCGTCATGAACAAGGGCCCAAAGGTACAATACGATGAGAGCGATAGTGGGAGTGATATTGAGGACGAGGAGCCCTCCAAGGAGGAACTGATCAAGCTATTGCAAGAGGCTCATTCTCTCAAAAACAAGAAGAGGGAAAATTCAAGTTGCATAAAAGGCACAAAGCTCTTGAGCAAACCCTTGATGAGCATTTAGCTACTCATGAGGCTCTAATTGAAACTCATGAGAAGTTGAAGGAAGCTCACTCCTCTCTCCTTGTTCAAAGGAAGTAGCCTACTGAAATAGCCAATGTAGGAGTAACTTGTGATATTCTACTCCTATTGTTGTTGCGACCACTAACCCCTCTTGTAGCATAAGTACTTCTCTTTAGTGATGGTTTCACTTGTGACTCCACTCTCATTGTAGAGAATGAGACACTATAGAAGGAGGTTAATGAGCTCACATATGCACTCAGAAAGGCGTACGGTGGATATACCCACTTGCTCAAGTGCCTAAGTAGCCGAAGGTTCTCTTGTAACAAAGAGAGCTTAGGCTATGTCCCAAAGAGTGACAAAAAGTCTTTTGCCTCTCACAAGAGTCAATTTGTGAGGGGTAATGGGACCTATTGCAACAAGTGCAATGAAGTGGGGCATTTGGAGAGAAATTGCAAGAACAAGAACCCTACCATATCCTCCATTAAGTTTGATTCTTGCTATTTACTTTCTAGGGGTGCTGATGGTGTTCATGCTAAGTTCATTGGTGTACCCATTGTGGTCTCAGAAGAAAGCTATTTAGGTGCCCAAAAGCTTAGTCAGTAACCTTGGAGGACCCAAACAAATTTGGTTACCTAAAAGGAATTGATCTCTTCTTATAGGTAAATTACAAAGCCGGAGGAAGGCATTGGGTGCTTGATAAGCCGGAGAAAGCCTTATAATGTGTTTACATTTGCTGGTAAGCTGCAGTTGCTACTTGCTGTTTTCCTTATTATGGTTGCATTTCAGCAGTAGTTGCAACAAGATGTAATCTATTTATTTCCTTTTTATTGAGATTTTAGTTGTAAGTAGCAGGAGTGTATTATATGTAGGTTCATTTTATGGCTACTATTCATTGATAATGTATGTGATTTGGTTCCAATTTTATATCATGTTATGCGTATTTTATGTTTATAGTTCCAGTGTAATTGTCTTTGTGGAATGTTGCAATTTCTGTGCTATATTAGTTGTATTCCCTATTGTTTTGCATCATGCATCTGTCTTTGAAATATGTTATTTTCTTCTTAGTTTTTTTATTTCATCTCTTTCTTTGATTTAAATGACATACTAATATCTTGTAGTAGTAGTTAGGTTCAATTGATGCAAGCTGCTATGGATTTTCATAACTTTCCGTATAATGCCTTTGTTTTACCTTTTTATATGTTTTCCCTTATTTTCATTTTTAAGTCCATGTCATCTACATTTTTTATTTTGATTTCCATAGTTATATATTCTAGTAGCATTTTGGTCAGAATAATGCAAAGGTTGTTTGATTTTGTAGATTTCCATAAGACATTCCTTTGTTATGTTTCTTCTTTTTTAATATGTTTTTCTTTTTTCTATTTCATGTTTTCTACGTCTTTGATTTTGATTTGTATATTTTCACAACTTTAGTGATTATGAGACTGTGAGTGACCATGTAGAGATGCTTGGACATTTGATGTCTTCATGCATAATTATAGTTATTATTACAAAAAAAAACTCGACCTACATGGGTAATAGCGTCTCCGGGGATTGCATTAAGAAAAAGACCTTCTCAGGCAGATCCAGAAAAACCCTAAACCTTTACCCCACCGATACACAGCGGCACCGTAGCCCATGTGAGAACAACAACGACCAGAGCCAGGCCTTAGACCTGTGTAGACGAGGGGATTTTTTTAAATTCAGCCTGAAATTCGTTCACACGAGGAGTCGAACTCAGCTGAGGAGTGCTACTCAAACCATATAACCAACTCAGCCAGAGACCCTTTCGCCCATTAAATTTACTAGATTATTTTAATATAATTTATAATATGGAATTTTCCAAGCAATTGTTTTACGTATATATTTGTTTAAAATTTGTTTTTTAATTTGCTATATATTTGTTTAAAATCCACTTGTCTTATAAAATGTATGTGATGAATATAGTTGCATTACATAAATTTGTGGCATTAAGAAATCTGAGTGATTTTGGTCCTCCATATCCCTAGCTCCTTCGTGCACCCTGTTACGGATGGTTGACACCTGGATGTCTAACCAAATCAAATGGGCATTGAGCTCTCCCAAAGTGGCTCCACCTGTGTGTCCACGTGTGGAGCCATAGTGATGTGGAGGATATATTTCTCTGGTGAGACGTACGATCTTATTAGAAGGTCGTGTGGGACTAATGGACCCAGAGTCCATCTAATTTATTTTCCCCGTGGGGATCATCAGAATTCATGGATCACCCATATTTTGTATACGGTAATGCTTCTTATAGGGCGTCCGTCCGTCCAGATGGACCTGTCCGCGCTGCGCACCACACGCAGCACGCCCCGTGCATCCTGCCCGTGATCCTTCCATTCGTTTAATTACCGTGATCCTTCCTCCCTACTTATCCGCACTTATCTGCTCTCTCTCGAGCGTGTCCTCCTCCACTCATCTGTCATCTCTCCGTGGCTCGCGCTCCTCTCCGCCCCTCCCGTTGCACGTGCCACGCTGCTCCCTCCTTGGCGGCAGCGACGCTCTCACCCACCTCAGACGCGCCTCTCCCACCATGAGTCCTCCTCCCCGCACCCCGGTGGCTTCTTCCCCCACCCCAGCAGCGCCCCTCCCCCGACACCAGCGTCCTCCCCCACACGGAGCTCCCAATGCCCTAAGATCCGACGACCGTGGCGCTCTCCGCGCAGACTCTCTCTCCCACTTGTTGCAATTATATCTTTCAATTGTTTTAGACGCTTCAGAGGTATACTGCAGTTGAATCATATGGATGTTGCAAAGTAGATCTGGGGATGTTGCACATGTTGCATATGTTACCAGTGTTTCAAAGGCATGTTGCAAGCATTTGTTCAAAATGTTTCACCTGTTTCTAGACGTATGTTGCAATCGTTCTGATCCGGATGTTTCGTATGGTTCACTCAAATGTTGCAATAATATGTTTCAAATGTTTCAGCTGCTTCGATCTTATGTTGCAGTAGTTGTTCCATATTGTTGCAAATGTTTTATTTGAACGTTTTATGTTGTTCGACCGGGGAGCGAGCTGGGGGCTGGCGGACGGGGCGCGTGGCTCGCTGGGGGCTAGTGGACGGAGGCGTTGGGGGCCGGCGGATAGGGGTGCTGTGGTCAGGGGGTGGGGGGTGGTGTTGGGCGTGCTCGTTGCGCACGTGGATGGTGCCAAGGCAGACATGACGGGCTGCGAGGGCGAGCTAAGGTCGCGGCTTGCCTAAGGGCCAGCGGACTGGGCCGGAGGCATGCGCGTGGGGCAGGGGCGAAAGGGACACGGGTGGTTAAGCACCTGAGCGGGGGCGTCCGGACGCGCGCTGTGCGCCGGACGTCCGGATGGTAGGATAGCCGTTTTGTATAGCCAGATAAACAAAACACACACACTCCGGCCGCCCTTCCTCCGCCGTCCTCTCCAGTCAGATCGTCAGTTCGTCGGCTCCTCCTAAAACCTCCAAGCCACCAATCTACCCAATATCTTCCCAGCACTGCCCCGTCCCCAGGCACTAGCCTATGCTCCCATCTCGTCCTTCCGCTCCTCTCAAAATTCAAGGTTTCTGATAATTCCCACGCCCAATTCCGCACCGGTGTCCAAAGCCCCACCGAATGGTCCACCACACCGCCTGAATCACATATGGGGAGGAAGAAATCGCGGCCGGTTCGAGCTGCGGGCGCTGCCTCTGCGGCGGCCGAGGCCGACCCCTACGCGCCGAGCCCTAGCGGCAGCACGAAGCGTGGGACCAAGGGCGATGCGAGGAGAGACGTCTGCGTGGAGGTGGATAGGAGCACGTGGGGTCACGCCGACGTTGACCACCGCGATATCGCCGAGGTGGTCCTCCGCGACGTGAGCGTCTCCGGCGACGGGGATGGGGAAGGTGCGTTGGAGGAGGCATTCGGGGCGTCGACGTTCTCGTTGCGTCTGCGGGTGCGCGACGCGCCGGAGGAGGGGTTCAGGATGGGCCAGTGGCCCGTTATGCCGTCGGATTGCGTGCTCCTGGAGTATGTCGTCCATGAGAGTCGTGAAGGGAAGCACGCAGAATATGTGGTCTCAGGGTGTTTTGATGGTCCTGATGAAGGTGTATCGGGTCTCGCCCATTTGGTGAGCTTGAGATTCATCACGCTCCGGGTTCAATGGTTCAGAGCATTTCAGGATATGGGTGAGGCGAGGGTTGAGTCATTTAGGATTAGAGTGGAGGTGATGGAACAGGCTTTCAGCGCGTGCGAATCGCTGCTGGAGGTGGCTAGGCATCCATGGAGAAAGAGTTTGATGAATATGATGGCTTGGCTGCGTCCTGAGGTCACTACATCGGCAGCCATATATGGGTTGGATGACCTTGGTGTGCCAATGGATGATGGTGGTAATGCTGATTTGACACCGAAGAGTGATTCACAGTTTGATCTTGCCGCTTTTTATGAGGCCGTTAAGCCTTCGATGTGAGTATCTTACATCTCACTATTACTCTAACCTCATAATCATGTGCTTTAACATGAATATGAAATGAAAGCATTTAAACTTATAGATAACTACTTGCTGCCGTTTTTTATTATGATACACCATATGTGCTTGTGTGATCAGAATCTATGATTTGAGTTATACAAAGCTTTGTTATGATCCTTAGGATGTATCATACTTTTTTTCTGGCCGTTGTATGATACTTATCTTTTATTCCTGTTGTTAGTAATGCAGAACAGTTGGAAGAGGACCTTCCTGATTTAGTTCCTCAGCTCAGACCATATCAACTTCGTGCAGCGCATTGGATGGTTCAACGTGAAAAGGGAAATACACCCCATCAAGAATATGCTAATCCTGCACCATATTGTGTTCCTTTTGATTTTATTCACAAGAATTCCAGGATGTTCTATAATCCGTTCAAGTAAGTCTGAAGTGTGTAAACATTAATCAAGTCTAGTTGATATGATTGTAGCTTGTTTAGTTAAGTATGCTTGAGATTTCTTAAGTTCATTGCATATTGTTGTACTATTTGAGCAACCTGCTTTCCATACACATAATGTTTCCGCCAATCTTGATTTCAATTCTTTTTGTTCCCGTGAATACCTCAGATTTTGACATATCTGTTACTGACTTACTATGCAGCGGAAATATTTCATTGCAACCAGAGCCTTCTCCACCTTATGTCTCTGGGGGCATTTTGGCTGGTAAGTCGATAACAATTGTGTTCATCAATTCATTATTATACTGCTTTTATGGTATTTACTATTGTGGATAGTTACCGCTGACACTCCTTTTCTGTCCTCAATTGATACAGATGAAATGGGTTTTGGGGAAAACTGTCGAGCTATTAGCATGCATTTTTGCTCATCGTAGACCAATTTCATTAAACTTTTCTGTCTTCCAGAACAAAACAGAAATGGATCAAATTAAGAGGCAGAAAGTAGAAAGGGTTGAGTGCATCTGTGGTGCTGCGAGTGAAAGTTCTGCATACACGGGTCTATGGGTTCAATGTGACATTTGTGATGCTTGGCAACATGCTGATTGTGTTGGTTACTCACCCAAGAAAGATATACTTTTGATGATACCGCTGAAGTTGTAGCATCAACAAACAAAAAAAAGCACCATGAAGTCTGGAATTAGAAGGAAAAAAAACCAGGTGTTCTGTTGTTGAGACAGAAGACAAATACATTTGTGCACTGTGCTTGGAGCTTACTGAAGCAACTCAAACTAATATACTCAGCCATGCTACATTGATAGTATGTCCCGCACCAATATTGGCACAATGGCACTCTGAGATTACCCGGTATGATTTCTTTTATCCAAATGTTAATTGAACAATTTTGCGCATAATTTCTGAATACCAGAATCAATATTTTTCAAATTTTCCAAGCTACACTTCGCTATATCGAGAATTCGAGAGACATACTGTGTAACACTATGTTCTGCTTCGCCTAAATGGCCGTTTAGCCATAAGCACCATTCAAATGGTACATGGTGGCCAGCTGTGTCCGTTTAATCGGCGCTTAAATGGCTGAATCTGTTTAGCGTTTAATGTTTACGTCAACACTGCCTGCTGTTGCTCTCAGTTTTGAAATCTCTGTCTTTTTGCTTAGAATGTAAGGTTGTTATTTTGCTGTCATTGTTTCAGCCACGTAACACTCAATCTCTTCTTCACTGCTTCTATTTTGAGTATAGAAGTTCTGCAACTTTATGTTAAAAATCCTTCTGATGGATCTTTGTTAAGTGTGCCCATGATGGGAAGCTTTTGAGAATAAGACATTTCGACTCTAGTGCAGTCTATACCAAGAATGAAGCTTCAAGTGCCTTATCCAGTTTTATTTTTTGAGTGTTTTGGCCTCTTTGGTACGGTATAGCTACAGGTATATGCATATAATGATAGTACTGACAGCTGTTTTTCTTTACTCTAGACACACAAGGCCAGGATCTCTGAAAGTTTGCATTTATGAAGGTGCAAGGAACTTGGATCTTGTTACCATCCAAAAAAATGAGATGACTGAGATAAGTACTGCTGATGTTGTCTTGACAACCTATGATGTCTTGAAAGAAGATCTATCACATGATTTTGACCGTCATGATGGTGATCGCCGCTTCTTGAGATTTCAAAAGAGGCAAGTAATGTTTAGTTTTCACAATGAAGGTTGACATGATAGGTTAGACTGATTCCAGTTTTCAAGCCCTCCATAAACTATAGGAAACATACATTTCCTTAGAACCAGGAAGCCATGGATTTTTTCCATGTTTGAGGCAAATGCAGGGTGTGGAGGCTTACAATGTTGCTGTTTGACAAGGAAAGCTAAATATAAACAATAACCCATATACAAGCTACTGCCTTGCAAAGATATCAATGAGCTGAAACTACAAACTAGTGTTGTTATTTGGAAAATATAACCCTAGGAAGATCTGCTTCCTAAATTTTAGGAAAAGGTAATTGCGCGATTCTTCCTGATGTTTTGTCTGTATAAACAGCTATAATATTCTTGCTAGCATGTGTACAATAAATTGTCCTAAAAAAGCATGTGTAAAATAAATTGCTTCAATTAAAACAAAATTAAAATGAGGGAGCTAAACCTACTACTGATGTCTAACATCCATTTTTTTTCTTGGAAAAGTCAAACGCAAGCTGACATACCACACCCCATCAGAGATTTGTGCCACTGTACTTTTATCTTTATGCTTTCCTTTTTTGTTGTGTTGGGTTCATGGTTCACATATTTTGAATTATGATACCTATTCATTGATCTGACATTATGCGAGTACTAAAAATCTGGTGAAGCTGAAAGGATAACTGACTCGAGCTTATTCATCACTTAGAATCAGGGTACACGTACACTGATAATAGCTGAAATAGAAGTGCAGTAGCTTGTTCAGTCCAAGTACTTCATTGAGTGCTTACAGTAAGAATCCCATTGTTATCCAGACATGCCATTTATTAATAAGTTAAATTAACTTTGGTTGAACCTCTGCTGAACTTCATTACACTCTTTAGATGTCCTGACAAGGATCTTGTTATGTGGCTGCTAGGATTGAGAGGGAGAGGCGGCGACGGGGCTACAGTACCCGCGGGTACTGTTCACGCGAGGGAGAGAGGGCAGGGACGGCTGGTTCCCAGGGGAAGCCAGCAACTTAATTGTTGCTTCTTGTTTGACTATAACAGATACAAGGTTCTCTTTTATAGAGATGACTGACTTTACCCCTAAGGAAATATCCTAACCGAATCGATCTAACATATATATTTCCTAACAAACCAAACCACATATCTCTTTCCTAACAAACCAAACAATCTAATCTAATCTGTTCAAGCACTACAGTAACGCGCCGCTACAGTACCGCGTGGGCCCCTGGGCCAGCTCTACTTGCCATAACAGATCCACTGGTGGTGGCTTTGTTTGGATGAAGCTCAGATGGTGGAGTAGGCTTGATGATCTCTTTGGGCTTCTACGTTTTCTTAGGACAAACCCATTTGACACATATAGATGGTGGGTGGACATTATTAGAGACCCGTATGAGGTATGTTGCCTTCTACTACTGAATCTGTCACATGCTGACAATGGAAGTCATTTTCATGTTGTAATGTTCATCGTTTATAAACTGTGATCACTTGCCTAGGCTGACGGATCTCAAATACCATAATTTCATGGTGGTGATGATGGATCTAGTGAAGTGCATAAGCCTTGGTAGTGCAAGTCTTACAGTTGGCCCATTGGTTCTTAGTTCTTACCATCTAGGTCCATATAGTCTGAAAACATAGGCAAGCATGTCTTATAAAGGACTGAGAACCTCATGATACAATGAACTTTTTAGTGCTGGTTTGTTGTTTCTTATAGCAATACATGAAATCGTGAATAATGTTGCCACAGCTCTGCATGTAACGCTTGTTGCTACTTGGTAGGATTTGATTTGATAGCATTTGGTTTACTGAGATAATTGGCCTGAGTAATTATTCTCCTTTTGTCTCATTGAATTGAACTGCAGAGGGGGAACAGAGTAGCAATGAATTATGCACACAATTTCTTGAGGGAAATCATGTGGCGTTCCTCCAAAATTCATGTCTCAGGAGAACTGCAGCTGCCTCCATAAGAAGAGTGTTTTCATGGCTCATCTTTTCTTCCATTGAAGAATATTTCTATAAGAAGCAGCATGCAACCTGCATGGACCATGCACATCAAATTATTAGAAGTTTGAGAAATGACACGAATAGAAGAGAATCAATTTCAGGTACTTTATCCACCAGATCAACCATTTTATGTTTCCACATTAATTCTTCAGGGTCAGGGTTTTCATGCTTTTCCATAGAAAATGAGCCAAAAAAAGTTGGAATGGACATTTCTTAAAGTAGATAATATAGACGGAATTCCATTTTGAGTGGGATATGGATAATACCATTTTCAGAGGCATTTATAGGTAATAGCGAATTTGCAAGACTGTTAAATATTTCTGTAATGTTGCCTAAAATTCCCTGGTCCCTTGAGCTTTCAGGACTAGGTTACCTCTTTTTATTAAACATGTTGCAATGGTTGATTAGTTGCCACATTAATGTCCTTTATCCAAAAACCTGAAGGTTCTTTCTGCCTTGTGCTTGTAGATTCAAATGCTTTGCTAAATGTTTACCTCTCCAATGACGACATTGCCAAGCTCCTAGTCCCACTGCTGAAACTTCGGCAGGCATGTTGCCACCCACAAGTGGGGAGTTCTGGTCTCTGCTCCCTGCAGCATAACCCTTTGTCAATGGATGAAATTTTACAGGTGGATAGCTGATTATTTTTCAGTCCTGGTTGCGACCTATTTTCTGTAGTGCAAATTTTTTTTAATAATGCACTCAGTGTTGCCAATGATAATTTTGCATCCAGGTTCTTATTGGCAAAGCAAAAATTGAAGGAGAGGAAGAGCTGAGGAAAATTGTAGTTGCCCTGAATGGTCTTGCTGGATTAGCTGTTATTGAACAAAGGAACCAAGAAGCTATTTCTTTGTACAAAGAAGCACTGGCATTGGCTCATGAAAATGTCGACGATTTCCGTGTTGACCCTCTATTGAATCTTCATATCAACTACAATCTTGCAGAACTGCTTAGAATTAGTTCTGAATATTTACAAGAATGCCCATTAAAAAAGCCGGCTTCTGAAGTTGCAATCAGCCGAAAAAGAAAGGAAACTAACACTGTTGAGACAAATGTACTTTGTGTGAAACGAAATAAAATATGTAAAAACAGTGTTTCGAGTTTGACAGCTAATGGGTTAGAAACATCTGAAGAAGATGAAAACACTATTGGACAAGCATGCACAACTGGAGATGTGGGTGTGGAGAATGTCGCTGGATGCCACTCATCGTCTGAATGTTTTGCTGATGACTGCTTAAGGAAGACTTGCAATGCAATCACAGAAAAATACCTGTCAGTTTTTACTTCAAGGCTGGTAGTAGCACAGAAGGATTTTAATGTATCATTCACAGAGGTAAGTTCACTACATTTATCTCTTATTTTTGAGCTGCACCAAGCTATATTAATTTATTTATATTTCTTTGTCCTGTTATTATTGTATTTTTAATCCTTGGTAAGTTTTATCTGATCCAAGCCTTTTCCCTTTTCTCCTCATACTGAGCGTCTGCCTACCTTTAGGTCTTGAATATCACTAAAGAGCTACAGAGTGGGCTTATGAATTGGTGGCTGCATGCTTTGGACTGCATTGAACGGAACAACATTTCTGCTGACGAACTCATCAAGAAGATTGATAATTCTTCTAGTAAGAGCACCACTGGTTTGGGTTCAAGGGGAATATCTTCCAGGTCTGCAGCAAACTTGTTTTAATATTCTCCATGGTACCTATGTCGATTCATTTTTTCAAGAATTCATATCACTAAATATATGTCAAAAAATATTTATTTTCTATAGTTGATGGTTAACTTGGTTGTTTTGTTCTTTCACAGGATTAAAAGTATTGCTGGATTAAAATATGCAATTCAAGCTGACATTGATTCTCTACAAAGTTTGAGGCAACATCTTGTGGATAGACTTCTGGAAGTTGACAAAACAATGGATAACCCAAGGGATGAGGACATTGAGGGCCAGCGATATTGTCCGAAGTGCTATGATGGCACTGGTTCTCTATGTATCCAGTGTGAGCTAGATGAACTCTTTCAGGTTAATATGCACCAGTGCTTGCTGATGTTTTTGTGCCTCTATGAAATCCATCGTGTATTGATTTAATCTCTTCCTTTCTTTTAGAGGTATGAAGCACGTCTGTTTCTTGTTAAGAAATCAAACAATGATTCTGTCATTGATTCAGTAGAAGAAGCACAGGATCTACAGAGGCGAAAATATGAGCTCAATCACTTCTTCCGTAATAGAAAATCCAATGAGGGATCTGAACCTGGCTATGACAATAACAATCCTAGGTCAGCTCGAGAAAACATACAGGTGTGTTACATACTTCCATTCCTGCATGTAGTACTATCAATAGTTGTCACTTCCTCTTTTTCTTCTATCCACACCTTTTTCAAGGATAACATTACAACCCCAACCCTCTGGAAAATAATGTTACACCTTCTGTTTGTCTTTTACCATATGTTGTCTCAACATAGCAGGTCCCAAGCCCTGGTAAAGGAGGAGGGTTGTGATAGGCGTGGCGAGTCAACGTTAAATCTAGCCATTCTAATGGAGATGAAACCCGAAAGAAAACCGTTGGGGCGTAACCCTCTTAGCGACGCGCCATATCGAAACCCGGGTATGGTGTTAAATGAGCAAGGGCCGGGTCGTCACCCCCGTGACGCGCCGTGTCGCAATCTGGGCACGGTGTCAAGTGAGCAAGGATTGGGTCGTCGCATCCTTAGTGGCGCGCTACATTGGCGTCCGGGTGTAGTGAAAAATGAGCAAGGGTCTTCACATCTGAGTCAACGGGTGCGAAGGGTAAGGAAGCTAGTCGAATCAACTAGGATCCGTTTAGGTAGTTGGAATGTAGGGTCGCTTATAGGTAAGTTAAGAGAATTAGTTGATGCCGCGACTAGGAGGCGTGTAAATATATTATGCGTTCAAGAGACTAAATGGAAGGGTCAGAAGGCGAAGGAGGTGGATAATACAGGTTTCAAGCTTTGGTACACAGGGACAGTTGCGAATAAAAATGGAGTATGAGTTTTGATTGATAAGAGCCTCAAGAATAGTGTGGTGGGAGTGAGAAGGCAAGGAGATATGATTATCTTAGTCAAGCCTGTCATTAGTGATATGGTCTTGAACGTAATTAGTGCGTATGCCCCAAAGTAGGCCTCGACGAGAGTGCTAAGAGACAGTTCTGGGAAGACTTAGATGGCCTGATTAGAGCTGTACCTAGTAGTGAGAAGCTTTTTATAGGAAATCTTAATGGGCATGTAGGTACTACAAACGCAGGTTTCAAGGCAGTTCATGGAGGTTTTGGGTATGGTAGTAGGAATCAGGAAGGGGAGGAAGTTCTGGACTTCGCGATAGCTTTTGACCTGATGATAGCCAACACTTTCTTTAGAAAGAGAGAATCTCGTCTAGTGACCTTTAGTAGCGGACAACACTCTAGCTAGATTGACTTTGTCCTCACAAGAAGAAAGGACAAACGAGCATGCTTGAGTTGCAAGATGATACCAGGGGAGTGTTGTTTCTCAACATAAGCTTTTGGTGGCAGACTTTCGTTTTCAGGTGCGTGCCCGTAGGGATAAACAAGCTAAGATTGAAAGAACAAAGTGGTGGAAACTGAAAGGGGAGATGTCAGAGGTATTTAGGGAAAGGGTTATCAAAGAGGGCTCTTGGAAGGAAGAAGAGGACATAAACAACATGTGGGAGAAGATGGCAACCTACATTCGGAGAGTGGCCTCAGAGGTGTGTGGAGT